TTTATTGCACAAGGATGCATATTTCACTGTATGTGGGTGGAGAATAGGAGACACAAGAATTATTTGAGCTGACTCCAAGCTAGAAACCTGAAATTTACTTAAAAAAAATCCACTCATGCAAATACCAGTTATCTATTTTTTTATCTGGCCCTTGGTTTCATTTCTGTTAATGAAGTTCAAGAGAAACCTTAATATAGGCTGTCATTCCATTTGAACTAAGTCTTAGTTGTCAACGAATGCTTCTGCTCTCCAGTTCACAGTTCTGCGTTCAAACAATGAAACAATGGTCCTTCTAAGGCAACAACACATCTGAGACACACAAAACACCCTACATACTACACACACACACACACACACACACACACACACACACACACACACACACCACATATCCAGAGACAGCCCTGGTACAAAGATTTAAAGAGTTATTTTTCTTAAGAAAAGATCATTTTCTCCAGGACTTAAGCAGATCTCTCCTCCCACATCTTGTATAACTACCTGGGGATCCCACTCTGAAACCAACTGGCAGGATGGGTACAGAATATGGATGGTTTCCCAGCAACTGGAAATGAGATTGTTTTCACTGGAGTCATGGGGTGAAGCAGAAGGAGAGTGAACTATTGCCTGACCCATTTAGAGCTCTGTCAAGCATGATGTTGTGGTCACAGAGCAATCAGTAGCCCCGATGTATCTGTCCTGAGCCCCAGGCTTCCCCTTCTCAGCAGCTCGTCAGTAACTTCCAAGAGTCTCATAGGCTGTTCTCATTGCACAGAGAGCCATACAAGAGGACCAGGACCATAGCTCACAGGTGCCCTCAGGGGAGAACATACTGGCTTCAGAGACCCTGAAAACCTCAGCCCTGAGTTGGTGATGTGCTGCAAGGGCCGAATATTAGTGCTGGGGATGTTGGTGGGGCTTAGGAGAGTCAGGAGGGAGCTTTGGGCACAAGTAGACTGATCCTTTAACTTACACTAGACCGTCACTTGCGTGTCTATCTATGGATATGACAATGCGGAGAGGAAAAGGAAGCATGGCTGGCCGGGTATAATATATCACCTCACCCAAGGACCATCAAAGAAGTCACAGCCTTCTTGAGTTTAAAAATAGAATTGGAACAGCTACATTACAAGCCTTTTGATTTCTGGATTTTCTGTTCCTATACCCCCCCCTTCTTCCTTTTCTCTTTCCCACCTTTGTCTTTTACTTTCTTTGTTCCATCCTTCTTTCTTTCTCCCTTCCTCTTTCCATCACTCCTTTTCTCCTTCTCTCTCTTCTCTGTCATCCCTTTCTATTGTTTTCTTTCTTTCTATGCTGGGGATCAAACCTACAGTATCTTGCATTATAGGGCTCTACCACAGATCCACACTCAGGCCCACCTTTATTTTTGTTTTTGTTTTGATTTAAAAAAGACTGTATTTCATGTGAAATTAATTATCTTTATTGGAAAAGAGAGTGAGATTTTATACTGTCACTTAAGACAACATAACCCCTACCCAGAGAAATCCAGTTATCTCTTTTGTAATATTTGAAAATAAACCAACTTTATTTAAATCAGTTAATAGCTATCAAGACTGGGAAACACGTTTACAGCTGGCTCAAGGATATGGAGAAAACGCTCAGCTTGGTGTGTATGCAAAGGCATGTTGCATTTAGTAAGGCTTGAAAGCAAGACCTAGTCTCACCACAGTTAAAGGTCTCAAGAAAAGTGAGTCATCATCATTTGGAGGGTCTGCATACAATGAATTAAAATCACTAAATCATTAATTCTCCAGCTTGTAAAATGAAAAATAAAATGGGTGACAGGGGAGGGAGGGAGGGAGGGAGAAGAAATTCAAATGTGAGCTCAATATTTTGCTTCTTTTTATTTTGTTGTTTTGTTTTGAGACAGGGTCATGTGTAGGTCAAGCTGGCCTCCAGTTTGCTATGTAGCTGACCTTGAGCTTCTGATCCTCCTGACTCCACCTCCCTAGTGCTGGGATTACAAAGGTTCTCTACCATGCCTGGTTTATGCAGTGCTGGAGATCTGACCCAGGGCTTCATGCATGCTAAGTAATCACTCTACAACTGAGCTAGATCCCAGTTTGATATTTTCTATAAATATATCCACAGTCTACGTTGGGAAATCTTTAGCTGTATACCCAAATACCACGTCTTCAAAACTGTTTTTGCCAAACACCAGATTGATTTTTTTAGAAACCTATGGTTTAACTCAGACCTTACATGGGGACAATGTTTGGTTTATTTTGGTTAGTGCATGTAGTGGTAGTGAAGAACAGATTTATCTCTTTAAACGACATTTAATAAAAATGTACTGTTTGATTCATACTTAATAATGAGATGAAAGTGTCTTGAAACTAGACTGGGAGAAAAATATTGATGAGGAATACTGAGAAAGGGAGAAGAGAATACACTTATATCTAGGGCACAAGCTGTTAGTTTGAGTGGAAAAGAACAGTGGATGCAAGGTCACTGGCCAGTCTGTTGAAGGGCCCCAAAGCCAATGACAAAATCACAAATGTTCTCCAAACACTAGGATCTGGTGCTTCATAGGCACACTTCTTTCCTTCATATCTTCTAAAGATTCTTCATAATGTTATGTATAGTTATGATATATATGAATATAGAAGATACAAATATGGAGATCTCAAAACATAACTCTTGAGAATCACTGAACTTAGTCTCATTCATGAGTCAGTGTTTCACATTTCCAAGCAAGGGCATGTTAGTATCCTCCTCGTAGGCAGCTGAGCTGACTCCTGGGCCATGAAGGAGGAACCCTGGAAGCACTTACCTACCAGACACCGGCCGCTTCTACAACATTTTGATTGCAGATGCAAGAGTTTTAGTGATGGTGAGCTCTTACTGAATAGACACACAGCTTCTGCCTCGGCTTCCTTCGCAATACAAATTTGCCTGGGCCTGCCAAGTTCCTGGTACTCTCAGACAGTCAGCATCTGTCTGTGCCAGGCACTCTGTGCCGTGGTGGTCCTAAAATGCTTGGGACCGTCTGTCTGCAGAAGGCAGAACTGCCTTCACTGCTGTTGCCGCACCTCACAAGAACCAGAAGGTACCAGAAACATGGTTCAGCCTTCACTCTTGGAGGAGCTCCTTTTTGATGAAAAACCCCAAGATCCTGTCTGGTCTCACCAGCACCAGAAGTGAACACCAGAGGCAGTGCCATCTACCAGGAAGCTGCAACCAGTTTGGGATGGTCTGGCCAAATAAACGGACTAACTGCTTCCTACTTGGCAACTGACTTGTTTGGTGTCATGAGGCTGCCTAGGAGAGGAATTTTTCAGAACGTATGAAAGTATGTTCTGAAACAACCGAAAATTCACTTTCTATCTCACTGTGTATAGTTATTAGTATCTTAATTGGAATACCTTCTCTCTGGGTCAGCCTAAGAGGTAGGCAGTTTTAAATAGGTAGGCACACCAACTCGATAATTCTGAATCTGACACCAGCTGTCTGTCTTGCCTCCCACTTAGCTCTCACACATGAAAGATTGGCATGTGACAATCCGTGGTAGAAGATGAATACAAGCTAAATAGCTCCAGCAAGATAGTCTCCCTTTCTCTGCCTCTCCAATGCTTCCGGAGGGACCGGCATTTACCAGGACAGCGCCTATCCAGAGTCGCCTATGCAGGTAAGTCCACCCTGATAACCATTCCACACAGCCTGAGCTAGGATTTGGAACCTCACCACAGGGTGGCTGCAGATGGCGAATCACACACATGACAAGGTTAAGACCAGGGTCCAGGGAAGCTGGAACCACCAGAGAAAAATCTCCTTAGGGAGAGGGGTAATCATCATTTACTTTATTGCAGTTTTTATACACCATGAAAATTATGTCCTAAGACACCGGTCAGTCTCATTATGATTATCTGATAAAATTAAAATTACTTCTGCATCAAAGTACTCAGAAAAGCCTCTCTCCTACAGTCTTGCCTGTCTTGAAAGGGGTTATAATTGATCCTCTAACACCCAACATTGCCTAAATTTTGTGATTTTTGTAAAGCTAACCTAACCATGGGAGGACCTGCTAGAAACAACGTTGACTTGGCTTGGGAAGTTTCTTTGTAAAGACTTGCCAATTGCTAGCCTCAGATACCACATGACCGTCCTTGGTATCCCTCCCACCTTTCCTCTCAGGCCCCTCTGTCCGAAGGCTACACTTCACATCTTCACCATCAGCACACTTGTGGGACACAGGGATGTGAGCTGCGTCGGGTTCACCCTGCCTGCCTGTAAGTTCTGGGAAAGATCCCTGAGAACAGCATGGTTTCCTATTAATTAAACAGCCTTCCGGTTGCTTCCGGAAGCTCTCCTCCCCTGGGAGGCCCATTAGGGATCTTCCCTGAAGTAAAAAGGGCTGTTCCCTCAGCACTGCTACACTTTTAAACATCCCGAGGGGCTGCTTGCCGAGAGCCTGTGGAAAGGTTCCTGTAGCGATGGAAATGAATCGACTCATTTTGCCTCTTCAAAGCCCTTTCAAGTTTATAAAAGGTCCTAGCAGGCACAGTCCTCTTCCCCAATGGGCTAGGGAGACCTCCTGCTTCCTCCCTCCTCGGATCAATGGTCACTCTTTGCTTTGGAGATCCCTAGAGAAAGGTGGGTCCAGTGACTGCTTGGCTTATCCCATGTTGATGTTTCTATGGAAAGGACCCGTGCTGCCCCACCCTCCAGAGCAATGAGCCAAGGCCAGGCTTCCGGCCCCCACGAGCCTCACCCTCCACTGGCAGCAACACACAGGGCGAGATTGTTGGAATTGAGGCCCTGAGGATGGGTTTCTTCTAGGCACTCACTAGAGGAGCGCCTAGAAACTTGTGAGCGCCTCACAAGTAGAGGAAGAGTTAATGATTAACTCGTTTACCATAGTGCCTGATCAGCACAGGTTTCCATGCTCAGGCCTTGTGAGTTTTGTAGGTAAAACTCAAGGAGAATGATTAAGGAGAAAAATATTAGCTAAAAACATAATAATAATTAAGATAAATATTAGCTTAAAAAAAACACTTCCTTTTCTTAACAATATGATGCTGTGATAACTGTGACAGTGGGAAAATGGACCCAGGGCAGTATCTATTTTCCAAATTCAAGTTGTGGCTTCCCAGTCAGAAAGACCTGTGGACTTTCTTCCTAAGGTAGCCTTTCCTTCACACCATTCCTTCACAGAATTTCTCTTCCATCAGGGCTTGGGGCTGAAGAAGCTAGGAGCACACACAGGTAGCAACCCGCATCTGCAAGTGACTAGGAAGGGCCTGGAAGACATTTTTTTTTTTTGGCGGATATTGAATCTGGTTTATGGCTGGTAGGTGTGCCAACCAGTCCAACACCAGTCCAAGGTTTAGATACTGAGAGAGAAGAGTGGTCTAAAAGTTTTCTAAGCTACATCAAACTCATATAGAACTCTGTATCTCCTCCCTCCCTCTCCCATCTCTTTCTCCAACCGAAAGTCACTCATTGAGGAACACAGTCATACACGCCCATGCGATCTCCAGTGGACTACTCTTCAGTCAGTGACCCCTGTGGCTGTAGACCCTGGTGGGCCTTTTGGCATCAGCATTGCTTCCCAGAAGTCCCTCTTCATCTGGGTCACCTCAGTATAGAATTATAAGTCAACTGCCTTTGTGGCAAAATGGAGACAGAAGGAAAGCTGGGGTCAGTGCTGGCCAGGACATATTGCACCAGTTCCCAGCGCTGCAGCAAATTCGAATGTATCCAAGGGGACATTACCATCTGGCCCTCTGCTCATAAATAGTGAGCAGCTGGAACTGCTTTGCTAGATTCCCAGAGCCACACTCAGTTGAGAGCCCCCTACCGCTGCCTCCCCAGTGATCATGTAATGGCATTCATTCATGCCCTTGCAGTTGCTGAGGAAGACAAGGGAGAGAGAGAAGCTGGCATTTCAAGCTGTTAGAGCATCTAAGAGAGCATTATGATATTGGCAGAAGGGAACAGTGACAATCCCATGGAAGATTTCCAAACTGACCCCAGATATACCAACCCTAGATCAGATCTGTGGGTGGAAAGATCTGCTATTATGTCTCTTTGCTTGCCAGGCTCCTATAGGGCAAGGCAGAAGGATGGCACTGATCTTAGAAGGTAGAAGGCTGGAGTTGAGTTCAGGGGTGCCAGCAAGATGTGGCCTATTTTTTTTTTAATGTTTTCCCCAAGGCAACAAGGAGGAAGAGTCTGTAGCGTTGAAGGCCGTTGGGAGAAGTAGAATTCTTCTGCAGCAGAATTGGGCCAGACATCTAAGCTCAGGATCGGCTGAGGCGCCTGGCGACATCCGCATAGGCCAGCTCAATCTCACTGTCAGCTGCGCAGGTGTTGGTGAACTCGTCCCGTGCATAGGCGTTCTTGAGGTACCGCCACAACCCCGTCATCTCAGCTGGGAGGTCATAGTTTCGGTACTTCTTAGCCACAATCTAAGCAAAGGCGACAAGAAAAAGGTGGTGTGAAGGCATCAGTAGGAGGTGTCAGGGTCATGATTCCATGAGTTTCAGGCACATCTGCATGCAGTGTGGCGGAGAGAACCTGGCAAGAAAGACTAGTCCTATCAGCCAGCTCTGGGCCTGATTGAGAGAGCCTGACTTAATCCATAAAGTGGGAAAGAAATTGAGGATAATTTTTTATACCAACCTCAGGCCTCCACATGCTTGTACACACATGTGTCTACACAACCATGCACACACAGGATGACAGGTAAGAAAACATGCATAAGCACACAACACACACACACACACACGAAAAAATTGTGCTGCGAAGAAAAGCACCAGTGATAAGGAAAACTTTTTGAGACAGATGTAATTGGTGTACAGCATAACATATTTAGAGAAATATTTATGACACCGGCAGACATATTACCCACATAGTATCTATGTTCACATAGTCTAAGCTAACTTCAAACTTTCTATATGACTGAGGATGACCGTGAATTCCTAATCTTCCTGCTTTTCATCTCTCAAGTCAAGGATTACAGGTACATGGTACCTTGCTTTGTTCAAATTGTCTTCTTTTCCTGATCCCTCTTCTTCTTTCTTTCAGATAAGCATCCTTATTTGTGTTTGGGGGGGGGCAGAAAAGTGAATTAGGTATTTAAATATGTATGTAGATTCTGGATCTGGTGTGGGAGTAGGCCAAGAGTTGTCTCAAATCTTGTCCTGTGTTGCCACACTCAAAGGCCCAGGAGTTTTGGAGAAGTGGTGTTTGTGTCAATAGAAACAGTATCACCAGTGGTTAGCTCACAGGTTCTGCATCTCAGTTGACTGGATTTGTAATCCTCACCCCATCTGAGAGCTGTGGCCAAGGACAAGTTTTTGATACCTCTCTGTTCCCTAATTTGCTTTTCTCTGACATCTAGGTGGTGATAGGATTTACCTTGCAGGAATGGGTTAGTGGGTTCTGAGGAAATGCTTAGAGGAGAGCCTGGCATACAGGAAACATTCAATAACCGTTATCTAATATGGTTTACCGAGGCCTGGCTTGTATTCATATTCATGCATCTGCTTCTTTCCTATATGGAGGCTGGCAAGATGGGGTTTTTGTTTTGTTTTGTTTTGTTTTGCTTTGCTTTTAGTCTGTGTAGTCAGGACAACTTCCTGGACATGTGACCTATGATTTCTCTCAGGGTCTTGTACACAGAAAGGCCTTGCTCTTGGCTTAATGCTGTGTCAAGAGCAGCAAATTTTTCATATATATAGATATAGAGATAGAGATAGATATGCAAGGGGCCCTTATTCACTGCTCACTGGGACCCACCCGTTAGCTTTCAGAGTCAGGTAGGGATAACAGGGAGAAGTATCTCTCCCAGGGTTCTGCTTCAGACTTTCTCTGTTTCCTCTTCAACAGGAGGCACCAAACCACAGGATCTGATATCCTCCTGCTGAGGAACCCTCAGATCAGCCATACAAGGATTTCTTCCTCTTCCCCCTATGGGTGATGTAGGAAATTATGCCAAGAGGAAGACAATGACAACCTCCGGCATGAAAAGCTCATTTCCAGAGATCAATCCACGCCAGGGAGAGTACGTGTTCCCTCCAGGCTCTCATTCCAATTCTGAGCTTCTGGTATAACATGGGATACGGTCTGTCCTGAGTGTCAAGTGATGGCAGCATCCTTTCCACCTCCACAGCTTCTAAACAGCAGTAAGACAGGAGGAACACAGCCTTTGCATTCCTAGACTCTTTCTAACCCTGTTGACTATGTAGATGGTGACCGCTGACAGTACTGCCATATCAGCAGGCTCTCATCTGGGTGCTGTGTTACGCTACTTAGATCTCTAAAGAGTCCTGCAAGGATTTTATTCCTATTGCACAAATGAGAAAGGGGAGGCACAGACATTCCGTAAGTCAGACTTTGGTAAACAGTTAAATTTAATCTTTCCTATCTTCAGTTATCCCAACATCAGACAAGGTGCATCTAATTATATGTAATGAGCTGATCTCCCCCCCACCCCCAACCTCTGTGCTGCAGAAGATTGAACCCAAGGCATCATGCATGCTTGGCAAGCCATCCTATTAAGTCACACCCCTGCCTTCCAAATCCTTTCATTTCGAAGATGGAAACTCTTTAGCAATGAGCAAAACAGCCAAAAGAGGTTGAAAGATTCATGTCTTGTTGCAGTGCTTCTCAACTTGTGGGTTATGACCCCTTTGAGGGTTGAACATTTCACAGAGGTCACCTAAGACCATTGGAAAACACAGATATTTACCTTATGATTCATAACAGTGACAAACTTACAGTTATGGAGTAGCCATAAAAATAGCTTTATGACTGGGAGTCACCTCGACATGAGGAACTGTATTATTCCAATACTCAAGGGACTGAGGCAAGAGGATCTCAAATTTGAGAACAACCTAGACTATCTATTTAGACTCTGTGTCAACCGATCTGAAGGAAATGGGGAGCGGGTGATATTTTACACTGACCGATAAACTCATATTTTGTTCATGCGAGCATTTGAATGTTGGCATTTATTTGCTTATTTATTCATTTGTTTATTTGTTTTGTGGTGTTGGTTTCAAGCTCAGTGCTTGGTAAGAACTGTACTGGTTAGTTGTTTTTTGTTGTTTTTGGTTTTGGTTTGTTTTTTTTTTTTGTCAACTTTACACTAACTTGAGCCATCTGGGAGAAGGAACTTCATCACGTTGCCCTGTGGATATGTCTATAGGGCCATTTTTTGATTATTAATTGATGTAGGAGGGCCCCGCCCACTGTGGTTGGTACCACTTAGGCAAGTGGGACTTGACTGCGTAAGAGAGGTAACTGTAATATTCCATTGTGTAGATGTACCACAATTTGTGCATCCATTCCTCCACCGAGGGGCATCTGGGCTGTTTCCAGCTTCTGGCTATTTACAAGTAAGGCTGCTACAAACATGGTTGAGCAAATGTCCTTATTGGGTACTTGAGCATCTTTTGGATATATGCCTAGGAGTGGTATAGCTGGATCTTGAGGAAGCGCTATTCCTAGTTGTCTGAGGAAGCACCAGATTGCTTTCCAGAGTGGTTGTACAAGTTTACATTCCCACCAGCAGTGGAGGAGGGTTCCCCTTTCTCCACAACCTCTCCAGCATGTGTTGTCACTTGAGTTTTTTATTTTAGCCATTCTGATGGGTGTAAGGTGAAATCTTAGGGTTGTTTTGATTTGCATTTCCCTGATGGCTAATGAGGTTGAGCATTTCAAGTGTTTCTCTGCCATTCGATATTCCTCTATTGAGAATTCTCTGTTTAGCTCTGTACTCCATTTTTTAATTGGATTACTTGATTTTTTGCTGTTTAACTTCTTTAGTTCTTTATATGTACTGGATATTAGTCCTCTGTCATATATAGGGTTGGTGAAGATCCTTTCCCAATCTGTAGGCTGTCGTTTTATTCTGATGACAGTGTCCTTTGCTTTACAGAAGCTTTTCAGTTTCATGAGGTCCAATTTATTGATTGTTGCTCTTAGAGCCTGTGATGTTGGTGTTCTGTTCAGGAAGTTGTCTCAGCAATAAAAAACAAGGAAATCATGAAATTTGCAGGTAAATGGTGGGATCTGGAAAAGATCATCCTGAGTGAGCTATCCCAGAAGCAGAAAGATGCACACGGTATATACTCACTCATGTAGACATATAATATAGGATAAACCTACTAAAATCTGTACACCCTAAGAAGCTAATCAAGAGGGAGGACTCTTACTAAAATGCTCAATTCCTATCCAGAAAGGCAAAGAGGATGGACATCAGAAGAAGGAGAAAAGAGGGAACATGTCAGGAGCCTGACACAGAGGACCTCTGAAAGGCTCTGCCCTGCAGACTATCAATGCAGATGCTGAGACTTATGGGCAACCTTTGGGCAGAGTGCAGGGAATCTTATGAAAGAAGTGGGAAACAGTATGATCTGGAGAGGGCAGGAACTCCACAAGGAGAGCAACAGAACCAAAAAAAATCTGAGCACAGGGGTCTTTTCTGAGACTGATACTCCAACCAAGGACTATGCATGGAGATAACCTAAGACCCCTGCACAGATGTAGCCCATGGCAGTTCAGTATCCAAGTGGGTTCCATTGTAATAGGAACAGGGACTGTCTCTGACATGAACTGATTGGCCTGCTCTTTAATTACCTCCCCCTGAGGGGGAAGCAGCATTACCAGGCCACAGAAGAAGACAATGCAGCCACTCCTGATGAGACCTGATTGACTAGGATCAGAAGGAAGGGAAAGAAAACCTCCCCTATCAATGGAGTTGGGGAGGGGCATGCATACAGAGGGTGGAGGAAGGGAGGGATTCGGATGGGAGGAAGGAGGGAACCACAGGGGGGATACAAAGTGAATAAAGTGTAATTAATAACTTAAAATAAATAAATAAATAGATAGATAGATAGATAAATAAATAAATAAATAGAAAGCAATGTAAAAGTTATGAAAAAAAAGAGAGAGAGAGGTAACTATGTGAGCAAGCCAAGGGGGGAAAGCCAGTAAGCAATGCACCTCCTTGCCCTCTGCTTTAGTTTCTGCCTCTAGGTTACTGCCTTGATGTCCCTCTGTGATGGACTGGGATGTGAGTGTATAAGTCAAATAAACTTGGAAGGTGCTCTTGGCCACTGTTGTATGAGAACAGCAGAAAAGCAAACTAGGATGCATGTTCTGGTTTATCTTCATTAGCTTGAAAATAGCAGACATGTGATTAAAGAACCTATATCTTCATTTTCGTGTCTCTCTTTTCCAAGTTGCCTCACAGGGAATATGGTCCCTGTGTTGAGCCACAAAAAACCCACCCAGGAAATTTCAGACCAGGCTCTCAGTGAGTGTGGTCCACAGCCACTCAGCATCCTGGGATGGGGACAGTTGTAAAAGGAAGGCAGGCTGGAGTGTGGGTGCACAGAACTCTGACATTCGAAGGACCTTTTGTGCTCATGCTCTGAACTTGCTGTTTCATATGAAAACAGTTAGCTCCCACAGCCCGGATTAGATTTTGGCATCTGAGACCAAGCTGCCTTGGCTCCCCTTCATGCTTTCTGTACCACAGAGGTTTGCCAGGTCCCTGGATCTGATAAGCTGGATCAGCAGAAATCCAAGGAGACAGAAGTCTAGGGCTCCAGTCTTTGTTCCCTCCTAGGCCATCCTCCGGCTGATCCCCAATGTCCCAGAGCTAGAAAACCCACTGAACTGTCTCCAAGGACAGAGGATTAACCTAGTCATTTAGGGCTGGCAGGAGCTGAGACATTCAGAGAAGGAGGTAGAAGCCTGGGAGTGCCATATGTTTGCCTACTTTGACAAAGGATGCTTAAATGAGTTGCCCATACATGTTGGAGTAGAAAGGAGAGAAGGAAGGAACGAAAAGAAAGAAAGGAGGATTTGAGCTACACCCCTTCTTTTAGGCTCAAAAAAAAAAAAAAAGAAAAAAAAAAGAAAGAAAGAAAGAAAAAAGAAATCCTAAAAGATCAAATGACTTGCCCTGGTCCAGCCTGCTAGTTGGTGGCAGATGATGAATTAGAATTCATCCCTTCTGATCTTTCCATTATATCATGATGACACTGTGTGACTGAGTGGCCATCACACACACCTAATGGTTTTGCTTATTTCTCAGGGGGAAAAGAAAAGAAGAAAGTCCAATTTGGTGGGTAGGGCCTATGATCATTATTAACTTCAAAGTGACACACTTGGCTGGACCTACAAAAGATCTTTAGCTTGGCCCTGAGCCCAAAATGTCTTCATATTAAGGTGTGTGTTTTGGCCTGCCCCAGAAGCAGATTACTCTGTCCCCAGTTTTGGCTCTAACCCAGGCCAATGGGACACTCATGCATGGATGGTTAGCTAAGTGACTTCATGACAAGCTGTTGTGTGCTCTGATTGGAAGGAAGTGCATGTATCTAGCTCAGTACTCCAGCTGAACGAAGTAGCTAGACCCTGCTGATGAATGGTGGGCTAGCCTTCTTCTCAATGGAAGGCAGAAAAAAACATGACTGTCCTAAAAGGCACATAGCGGCTGATCAGATTGCCTGTGAATAAGTATTTATTAAAGATTCACCGCCCTTGGAAAAGGTATTTGTTCTCACAGAGATTGCTGTCAAAATGAGATGGTAAGACAGACGTAAACATGGTAAAAGGCAGGGGCTGGTTTGGCCATGAGACCCTACTGCATGTTGGTCTAGACAGTGAGTGAGCATCAAAAACGGTGAGGATCAGGGTGAGCTGAGTACTCGGTAAAGTACTTCCTTTGCAAGCATGAGAGCCTGAGTTCTCCTCCCTAGTGTAAGCCACATACAAAAACAAGTGTGATGTTGTACACTTGGAATCCCAGTGCTGGGGGACAAAGACAGGAGGGTCACTAGAGCTCACTGGCCAGCTAGTCTAACCAAATTGGTGAGCTCTGAGTTCAGTGAAACGCTCAGCCTTAAAAGAATAAGATTGAGGAAGGCACCCAACGTTCATTTCTAGCCTCCACGTGCAGGTACTTAGATGCACAGACAGAGGGGGTGATGTCTGTTTGGAGAACTTGGGGAATGCAGCTGCTGTCTCCCGATGAGATGAAAGAGAACAGAGATGTTCCGTGCTGCTCTAGGAAACATGCTTGAGGGCCACATGAGGGAGGACGCTGTAATAATGAGAGCCGTGTGCCACAGTAAGATGGAAGACCCCTCTTCACACAGAAATGTGTCAGCACACTTCACGGATGGTGACACAGATGCAGCAGCAGGCAGACCAATGTGGGGTTTGGAGGTTGCTTGAGATAACCAAATTGATGGTGGGTACCATAGAGAAAATTGATGGGTCGGTACCACAGAGAGCTTCTACCAGGTCTGTGCATAGAGATGTATGGAGGCCCAGGAGGACCCATGGACTGCAGCTATGAAAGCATGGCAGGGCTAACTCCAAGAAGAGGCTGTGATGTAACTGAATATACAGTGGCATTCTGCTTACTACATATTGATACACTGAGCCCCTATAGTATAGTAAGCGATTTTGTATCATGCTTAGTCCCACAATAAGCCTAGAGATATACAACATGTTACTATTTTATAAATGAAAATGAAAGCTCAAGGGCTAGAGAGATGGCTCAGTGGCTAAGAGCATTGGCTGCTCTTCCAGAGACCCAGGTCCAATTCCCAGTACCCACATGACAGCTCATAGCTATCTATAATTCTAGTTCCAGAGTATCTGACATCCTCTTCTGGCTTCATGGGTACCCAGTACACACATAGTACACACACATATATGTAGGCAAAATCCCCAGACATATAGTTACCTTTTATAAATTTCAAGAAAACTGAATGTCAAGAGAGGGTGTTTCCCCACAAGCAGTGAAGGATGACCTTGGGTCCCTAATAGATCTGACTTCAGCCCCCAGGAGTTACTGCCCTTTTGACTCATCCACCCAGTTGGCTGAGCTTGAGATGAAGGCAGTATCCAGGAGCAGATCTCTCTTACCTTGACCACGTGCAGCTTGGGCAGCAAATTGCAGTCGGCCAGGGTCAGCTCATCCCCATCCAGGAACTTGCGCTGGGACCCTTTCTCATCCCCACGGGTGTTGGTGTCAATCTCCTCTGGCAGAGGGGTGTTCAGGTAGTCGTCCAGCTTCCTCAGCGCCTTTGTCAACCCTCTCTCAAGGGCTGGCATGGAAGAACGAAGGAGAGGTCAGCTCTCTTCTTACCGAATACAGCCACGGGGACTTCAGAGAAAACTAATGTCCCATCACTGCCATCTCAACACATACAGTAGAACTCCTGGTAACTATGAGCGTGATTCAATGTGTGTGTACTCAACTGCCCAACAAGGCAAGCCCTAGGTCTTGATAGATGGCTCAGGAGTCACTGAGCTACCAAAAACTGGAATTTGTCTCCCTAAACCCTTGTCAGGCAGTCCATGGTCACCTGTAACTCCTGCTCTAGAGAATCCAGTACCCTCTTCATACACACACACACACACACACACACACACACACACACACAC